AAACAATCTGATCTCAAAACATTTTTGAAATAGAAAATAACTAAAAGTCTGAGATCTAATAGATTAATATTAAATATTTTTTAAGAAAAGATAAATATCATTTGAAATTTGAAAGCTGTATTTAAGAAAAATAAATCTTTTCTATGAATTCGAGTAAGTTAATAATTTTTGCTTCTCTTAATACTGTTATTTCAATAACCAATTTTTTTAATTTTTTGTCATTTACTTATAATGTCTAACTTTCTTGGTTAGAATTTAAAATCTAAAAATTAATCAATTAAAAAAAAAGAAAATATCCTAATATAACTATATAATTAAAAGCACTATTAATTTATTAAAAGAACATAATATAACCTAACATTTTAACATTATATATATATATATATTCAATTATTACATTTTTCAAAAAATTATATTTTTATTGTATTTTTAGAAAAGATGTTCACCATGTTATAATGTAAAATTATAGGAATTGTGTTTTCATTATAGCTAGTCTTCCTGTATTTTTAAAAATTTATGAATCTAAACTTTTTTGAAGCAAGAAACAAATTTTGGATGGAAATCATATAATCTAAGTCATTTCAAAAGCTTTAACACCAATAGAGATTAGAGAAGTTTTAAAGCTTTAACACTAATAGAGATTAGATGGTATTCTAATCTCTGTGCGCTTTTAAATTTCAGACTTTACTCTTTAATTGGGTGGTGCTAGGTTCTGACATAATATGGATGTTCGGGAGCAAATTTCGGATGCCACTTGGGGATGTGTGATTTATTGGGGGATGGAGCTGTGTCTCCAAGTTTCGTCCTCTGGGGAGAAAGGCGGCGAGTTATTCCGGGGCTAAAGCCTCCGGTCGTCACGTCTAATCCTGTAAATACTCAAGGAAAGGTCAGACGAGCCTTCGGGAGGACCGAAATGGGGTTTTCCTCCCGAAGGTTCTCCGACGCCCAAGTCAATGAACGTTATACCGGGAACAAATACTCAGGAGGGGAGATTTCTACGGGTTAGAGTGAGAAGTCTCGTCCAAAGATCGAGGCTCCCATCTGTTTTTGGGTGTTTCGAAGGGGTTTCTACACGATAAAATGAGACGGAACGAGGACAAAGGCAGGATTCCGGGTTAGGGATGGCTTAACCTGATAGGCATTCACTCTGGAAGAATATGAAGTTCACCCGTGATCATGCTGCTTGCCGGAACCGACTGATTCAGATACGGGTAGTTACCTCCTCTTCCAGAGAGATTTTCTCTCCTCCGATCAGTCGATCCTCTTCTGCGTGGTGATCTCCCCATATTTATACTTGCAGGCTCCTTGTCCTGTCTCTTCCATCCGGCGTGCCAGGAGAGCTGGTGAGGGTAATGATTCTAGCGTGTTTGGGAAAGTTCGCCAACTACCCCGGAACAGTACGCGAAAGTGGGTCGGCCGAGGTAGCGTGGAGTTTATCAGTGTCTAGCGCAATCTAGATCCATATGTTAGACTCTCTCTTGACCCAGTAAAATGGGTCCCAACAATGGGAGATTTGTACTTGTTTGAGCTCATGTTGGCTATTTAAATAGAATCTTCATCATCATTCTTTCACAAGTTTACATATAGTTTTAAAAACGCGAAACAGTTATTTAATAAAACACTAAAAATTAATATCATATATATCAATAATTATTTTTCAAAAGCGACTGAAATCGATTACAATAATATAAAATAACTTAAGATATCATTTAAACTTCGGAACTTTTTCAGAAAATCCATTTTATACAAATCAAAATACGTTAATGAAAAATAATTATTTTTATTTTGAATACAACAAAAATAATTTTTATTTAAAAACTATATACTTTATTTATGGCTTAAATTTTCTAATTTTTGTTGTTTAAATATAAATTTTAACCTCATAGATTATGATTTAAAGTTACAAAGTTTCATTAGAGGAAAAAAAAATATTTTAATTACTAGTTACATATTTAGGCTTTTAGATTAGTAAAATAACAAAATATAATATAGCATTTATATATATATATATATTTATTTTATTTCATAAAACATAAATCTTCATCGAATTTTCTAAAATATAAACAAACATATTTGTATGAATTGTGTTTCCATACAATGTATTTATAAAAAAAATCTGATTTCAAAACATTTTTGAAATAGAAAATAACTAGAAGTCTGAAATCTAAGATGGGGGTATTGGATTTAGAAATTGGATTGAATTGGAAAGAACTGAAGTTTCCATTAAATATTAGTGTTATTCAATGATATATTTTATCAATTCCTTTAGATACTTGTGTTATTGGATTAAATATTTCCATTCATTTTTTCAAAATCCTTTAAATATCAATTGTTATTCAACATATTAATTTTTCAATTCTATTAAATATATGTGTTATTTAATTTTGTAATAGCTTTGATTGTATTATCATTTGGAAAGAATTTAATATAATCTCACCTAAAAATTGTTAAGAACCAATTCCTACCATTTTTACTAGGATTTTGATAGAATTAGGTGGGGGTATTGGATTTAGAATTTGGATTAAATTGGAAGGAATTGAAGTTTCCATTAAATATTAGTGTTATTCAATGATATATTTTATCAATTCCTTTAGATACTTGTGTTATTGGATTAAGTGTTTCCATTCATTTTTTCAAAATCTTTTAAATATCATTGTTATTCAATATACTAATTTTTCAATTCTATTAAATATCTGTGTTATTCAATTTTATAATAGCTTTGATTGTATTATCATTTGGAAGGAATTTAATAGAATCTCACCTAAAAATTGTTAAGAACCAATTCCTACCATTTTTACTAGGATTTTGATAGAATTAGTTTAAATTCATACAAAATACTTGTAAATTAGTTAAAAATTAATTATTTTTGAATTTTTGTACATTAGTTTAAATTCATACAAAATACTTTAAATTACTTAAAAATCAATTATTTTTGAATTCTTGTACATTCTATCAAATTGAATCATCCAATACCACCCCCTAATAGATTAATATTAAATAAATTTTTAAGAAAATATAAATATCATTTGAAATTTAAAAGCTGTAATTAAGAAAAATAACTTTTTTCTACAAATTCAAGCAAGTTAATAATTTTTGTTTCTCTCAATACTGTTATTTTATTGCTTTTTATCATTCAATAGTTAAAAATTTCTAAAACCCGTCTGTCTTCTTCTCAAAATTTCAAAAACAACAAAAAAATAACAGTAGGAAAATTAAAAATAGAATGAACACAAAACTCTTTTCTAGACATTCTTTTTTAGTCAATGTCATCATCATGTTTCCACCGTTGGAAGAATTTTTCCACAGCAAGAGTTTGTGACCGTGATTATCCTTTGAAGTGTTCTCCTCTTAACTATTGATTTGTCTTTTGTACTTAAAACTTGCTTAAGAAAGTTTCTGTTTTTCTTTTGTTCAGTTTTAACACTTTGTTAACTTAATTGTAAAGTTTCAGGCATTAAAAAGTACGGGAATCAAAGAAGAGACGTTTTTCAGTTTCAAGGCTTTGGGAAATTGATTCCAAGATGTTTGGGTCATCTGGTAAATCTATGAGAAACCTCATTGTGATAATGGTTAGTTTTTTTTCTCTCTTAAATCTTTTGGGGATTCAGAGTCTTTAAAGAGGTTTAAAAACCTGTAAAGCCTTCTCTGATTTTTTTTATATGTAATAATAAAGTGTTCATCTTCAGTTGGTTGTGAATTTGTGATTGTAGGATGTGAAAATGGTTGTATTATTAGAGTAACATTGATGAAGAAACTTCTAGAACAGGAAATGGAGTTCAATCTTCACATGGAAATCTTTCAGCAAAGATCTTAGGTAGTCTCCCACTAACTGAATTTTTAATTTGTAACATATTCACATATTCAATTTACATTGAAAGAATAGTTTTAAAGTAATTCAATGTATATATGTTTAAAATAACTTTGTTTTAAATAGTTTGGGAGCAATTTGAGTCATCGGAAGATTTACAATCTTTGGCCTTATTTAATGCAGAGAAAGATTATGCTATCAAATTAGAATTCATCTTTTGTATTCTCTCCTAATTTACTGTTTAATGATTTTAGTTTGGTATTCCCTTTTGTTTTTTTTTTTATGTCTTTCGAGTTTATGTATCCAGAAATATATTTATGTATTCCACAAATCTATTTTTTAAAGTTTTAATAAAATTTTGGATGACAAAAAAAGAATATTTAGAACAACTTTGTTAAATATGTGGATTTAAATTATATTAAAAGGCACTTTACGAGTATAACTAATATGTAAATAATATGATCAAACATAATATAATAATTTTTTGTTAAATGATAGTAATTTTTTCTAACGTACGTAGTACGGGTCAATACTAATCCTAATATAATTATATAGTTAAAAGCACTATTAATTTATTAAAAGAATAGAATATAACCTAACATTTTAACATTATATATATATATATATTCAATTATTACATTTTTTAATTTTATCGTATTTTTAAAAAATGTGTTCATCATGTTCTTAAAGTAAAATGTATAAGAATTGTGTTTCCATTATAGCTAGTCTTCCTGTATTTTCAAAAATTTCTGAATCCAACTTTTTTCAAAATAAGAAACAGATTTTGGATGGAGTTCATATAATCTAGATCATTTGAAAAGCTTTAACACCAATAGAGAGAGTATCCTAATCTCTTCTTTTTCTTTCTATCAAATTTGTTTAAGATAACTTAATTAAAGAAAAAAAAAAATATTTATTGAATCTATAAAAAAATCATTTGCTGACTGACAAAGTGACAACCCATTGGAACCTTTAGTCTTGAAATACCCGTATCAATCAACCACTGGGAGTGAAGGAAACTTATCCAAAGAATCTAAGTAAAAACTGTAAAATTAGTAAAAGTATCCACAGAATATCACTTTTACCCCCTCAATTGTTTTGAATATCTCAATATAGCCCGGACCCACTCCCAAATAGGAAATCGAAAACCCTTTTTGTAAGGTTTTCGAGAAAGTTGAATCGTTACCGCCAAAGGCAACAAAATAAAGTACACATTAATAGATTCCCAAGCCAAGAGTCATCTTCTTCCCCTTCATGGCAAATTCTACCTACTAGGGTTTTCGATTTCTGTCTCTCTTGAGCGAATCCTTGTTTGTTTTTTTTTTACTGATTTCTCTTTTCGTCAGCCATGGACAGTTCTTGTGTGGGTAGAAGAACTCGTTCGAGGACGGAATCTTACTTATACTCGCTTCTAAACATATCAAAGGGGATTTCCGTCGAAGAACAATCCGAGAGTAGGAGAAAGAGGCAGAAGAAGAGGGATTCAATTCGTAGTGGTAATTCTTCACCACCGCCGGCGAAGGCCAAACGACGCCGGGGAACAGCGAGCACGGATGACTCTCTCGAGTTCGTCGGAATTGTTTGTCCAGAAGGTAAGCCAGATAACAAACATGTTGATAATGTGGCTTCTCCTTCGTTGATTGCTCCTAGTTTAGAGTCGAGATCGCCTGATCGGGATAGGGTTTGTGATTTGACTTTGGATGATGATGATGATGTTTATGTCGGAAATTTCCCGAAAGAGAAAGAACATGTAGATGATTACAATGTAGATAAGGTTGTGGATGATTCTGATTTGAGAGGTGAGGAGAAGACTTCAGCTCCGGTAATTTCAGAGGCGGATGAGGTTATGAGTCTTAGTTCTAGCTCTGGCGAAGATTGTTCTGAAGAGGAGGAATCAGGATCTGATTCAAGCGTCGACGGTAGTGATGAAGATGCTGAGTCTGATTACACGGAGGAGGAAAGCTCAGATTCTTCTTATAATGAGAGCTCTGAAAGTGAATTCGATTGTTCTGAGGACGACGAGGTTTGTGGTGGTGGCGCCAGAGATACTTGTCAAAGCAGGAAGAAGAGCACAAGTGGAAAAGCATATACTCGGGAGAAGCCGAAGAGTGTTCGTAAGAAGAGTAACTCGGATGTAGTTAAGCTGCTAGCAAAATCTATTTGGGAGAGAACGAAGATTTTCGATGAAGACATCAGCTCCGGGGACGAAGCAGCAGAGGTTGGTTCCAGAGAAGATCATGTAGTTAGAGAGAGCTCAAGTGAAAAGGTCTATGAACAAAAGGGGGAGAGAACGAGATTACATAGGGAGAAAAACAAGAGCCACTCGAACAATGTGACTGATCGGCGCGGAAACCCGTTTTCCGAGGAGGGTGAGTGTTTTGACGGTGGCGAAAAGCCGTGGGTTTCGCCTCCTTTAAACCTGAGATTTGGCTGTGAGGAGGAACCTGAGCCAATTGAGAAAACAGAAGCCGAGAAAGAAATAGATGGTTTGTGGGAAGAGATGGCTTTTGTTCTAACATCAGAAGGAGTAAACTCGTCTACTATTAAAGTAAGTCTGTTAACTAAATTTTCCATTTTTGTCTGGGCTCTCTTGCTGCTTGCTTTTTTTTTTTTCTTTGCATTGTTGAGACATGAAACTAAATTACATGTTCTTTGATGTATCAGAAGAGAGCTGTGTCATGTAGCAATGGGAATCATGACTTCGTCCTTGATGAGGAAATCGGTTTGAAATGCCGCTACTGTTCTTATGTTTCCGTTGAGATCAGAGACATCTCACCTGCCATGGTAAACACCTTTGATCGAGTTGTGTGTTGGCTATTTGTTGCTTTTCTTTTTCTCGTAATCGGAGTCTTTAACATGTTTGTGTTTTCTGCAATTGTGCAGGACAAGTATCGTCCTAATGCTAACGAGAAGACGGCATGTAGTGACAAAAAGGGCGAACCTTTACTTAACAAAGGGATTGACTTTGAAGCTTTGGATCGCAGCGATGATGTCGCCTCTTTAAAAGATACAGAAGGAACTGTCTGGGAATACATCCCTGGGATCAAAGCTACGTTGTACCCGCACCAGCAAGAAGGCTTTGAATTCATCTGGAAGAACTTAGCTGGGACAACAAATCTTGAGGAGCTGAAGAGCTCAGTGGTGAAAGAAAGCGGCGGGTGCGTTATTTCGCATTCGCCTGGAACTGGTAAGACGCGTCTGACCATCGTCTTTCTTCAGTCGTACTTGGAGCAGTTTCCGGATAGCCACCCCGTGGTCATAGCTCCTAAAGCTATAATGCAGACATGGGAAGAAGAGTTCAGAAAGTGGAATTCAAACATTCCGTTCTTCAACATGAACAATAAGAAGTTCTCAGGGGACGAGAGCCAATCAGCTGTCGCACTTATAAAGGGGAGTAAGCAATGTAAGAACGACCAGGAAGCCGTCCGTATGGTTAAGCTGTATTCTTGGAGGACCAAGAAAAGCGTTCTTGGAGTTAGCTACCATCTGTATAAGAAGCTGGCGCAGAACAAAGAGTTTAAGAGGATGTTGCTAGAGCTGCCTGGTTTGCTGGTTCTCGACGAGGGCCACACCCCGAGAAACAAGAAGAGCCGCATTTGGAAAGCGCTCTCCGAGGTTAAAACGGGGAAGCGCATCATTCTCTCAGGGACGCCGTTCCAGAACAATTTCAAGGAGCTCTCCACCGTCTTATGCCTGGCAAGGCCAGATTACACAGAGATGATAACTTCGAGGCTCCATGATCTCAGCAAGCTGAGCCAAGAAGGCATAAACGGGAGGTTTGATGAAGAAATTAGACTTGAGGAGCTTAAGGATATGATTGCTCCTTTTGTGCATGTCCACAAAGGGAACATCCTTCGAGAAAACCTTCCAGGTCGAAGAGACTGTGTTGTGGTCTTGAACCCGACTTTTCAACAGACGATAGTCCTGTCCAGAATCGAACAACCTCAGGTCACATTTGAACTTGAGCACAAGTTTTCGGCTGTTTCAGTACACCCATCTCTGTTTCTGTGCTGCAACGTGACAACGAGGGAAAAACTACTCATTGGTCCAAAACGATTAGATAACCTGGAGAAAATCAGACTTGACTCCAAGGAAGGTGTGAAAACTAGGTTCCTGATCGAGTTAATCCGATTTAGTCAAACAGTGAAAGAGAAAGTTTTGGTGTTTAGCCAATACCTTCAAACTCTAGAGCTGGTCAGGGACCAGCTCAGTGCAGTATTTGGCTGGGCTGAGAGGAGAGAGATTCTCTATATGCATGGTGAACTTGATCAGAGTTACAGGCAGCAAATGATTCACAACTTCAACGAACCAGACAGTGAGTCTAAAGTGCTACTGGCATCAACAAGAGCGTGTTCCGAGGGTATTTGTCTTGTCGGCGCCTCGAGGGTTGTACTCCTCGATGTTGTTTGGAACCCTTCCGTTGAGAAGCAAGCCATAAGCCGAGCTTACAGGATTGGTCAAAAGCGGGTCGTGTACACTTACCATCTCATGGTTAAAGACGCATCTGAGTGGGAAAAGTACTGTACGCAGACAAAGAAACATCGCATATCCGAAAAGGTCTTCTCTCCTACCAATGAGAAGGATAAGCTGATTAACAACGAAGATGTTTCTGAAGATAAGATCCTCGACGAGATGGTTCGGCACGAGAAGCTGAAAGACATGTTTGAGAAGATACTTTACACCGCCCAAGACCCAAAGGAATCTGATTTGCTTATCAACATCCTCTGATTGTAATATCCTTTTTTTCTCTCTCCCTCTCTCTTAATTTCACTCTCAGACTCTCTAAACGTTTATATTAATTAGAGGTTTGGAACTGATTATTCTAGCAATATGTAATTCTCTAGTTCGATTTCTTCTATTTGAATGGACTTGTGTGTATCGCTATTTTCCATGGCTATGCTAAATCGAAGGGGACAATCTTTGAAGCTTGAAAGATTCTTTTGCAGGAAGTGAAAGTTTGAGAAACTTTACAATGTTACAAGAGGGGAAGGACCAAAATAACAAATACCGTGGCTGCAACTTGTGTCAATACTCTTGAAGATTCAGGCTGCAACATTGGTGAATCTCCTGTATCGATCATCACAGGAAACTCACAAAACTCATCAGAAGGATCTTCATCAGTGATCAAACTCAACCCCAAGAAATCACAGTCCCATGTTTTCTGATCATGCATCTGATAATACATGTTAAACGCATACGAAGCGTTGCCTATATCGTTGAGATGGTTACACGAGGAGCCATACCCGAGAGCTGTGCAATCAGACAAGCTACAAGCATAGTCAACGTTATCAGCCAAGTCATCGAGGTTAAACGCATTAGGGTCAAGAACACACCACGTTTTAGGCAGATACTTTACACCTTCCACTGGAGCCAGAGGATTGTATTTGCCTTCACCTGACAAATCAAGCTCGTACTTCGGTCTACCATCGAACTCAAAGATTCCCCAATGCCTCTCAAAAGTCCCCGGAGCAATACTCTTGGCGTCTTCATCCACAAGGCTGAAAAGATAAACATCAAGAACCACTCCTTTCCTCGCCGGAGTTCCATTACCGGACATAGCATGCTTCACCATCCCTTGAATGAATCTCTTTGCGCTTTCCGAGTTCGCGTTCTTGTCTCCATCCGTTGGCCAACCGACTTCTCCCACGATGATCTTCATCCCCAAGAAACTGTATCTCTCCATCGCACAAACCAAAGTGTCCAAATTAGCGTCAAACACGTTTGTGTAAACCAAATCTCCATCTCTCAAACTCAAAGTCTTGTTTGTTCCATCGAAGAAGGCGAAATCCAAAGGGAAGTAAGCGTTTCCGTAAAGACTAAGAAAAGGGTAAATGTTGACCGTGAAAGGGGAATCGTGTGAGTACAAGAAATTGATTATCTCGATGGTTACATCTCTGAGCTCAGGCCTAAAGTCTCCAGCGGAAGGAACAGGGTTTGATTCAGGGGAGAAATATATGTCTGCGTTGAAAGGAACCGTGACTCTCACGCTTTTCAGATTAGCTTCCTCTAGTGCTCGTTGGATGTTGACGAGTGCTGGTAAAGTGAACTCAACGTAAGTCCCGTTGTATGTCTGAAGGAAAGGCTCGTTTCCAACGGCTATGTACTTGATGTTGACACCTCCATGGTAAGAATACGCCGTGACGTTTTCTTCAACCCATGAAGCTGCCACGTTTGGATCTTGAGCGATTTCTTTAAGAAATCGGTTTGGTATTCCGATCATGACTTCGATTCCTGAACCAATTAGAGCGTCTAAGATGTTTTGGTCGGCTTCGAAGAGTTTCAGCTTAGTGAAGCCATTGTCTTTTAGCATCTTCACTACGTTTTCAGGAGGAAGCTGGTGACTCGCCATTGTTCCCCAGTTCACTCCTACACTTGTGCTGGTGTTGGAAGCGACGCAGACTTGTGAGACAAGGAAGAGATAGAGAATCTGATGAGGAAATAAGTTGTTTAGTAGTTTTGATCTCTGTTCTGCCATTTTTGTCTCTTATCTTTCAGATGAATTCTTTTCTGTTTTATTTATGGGGCCTTAATGAAGTTACGGAAAGAAGAAGAAGATGAAAAGTGATTGAGATCTGTGATTTGTCCTTGATTCAGTTAAAGAAGCAGACACAACATGCAGACGAGCCATTGGCGTTGTGGAAACACTTTGTGCATGCCTATTTGACAAGCCACGTGGCATTGACCCACTTCAAGAACCCATATGTTGGCATATAATTGATGTTTGATGTTTCTTCTGCAAACTATACAATTATTGGCACTAAGCTTAAAACTTGTGCCCCTAATAAAAAATAAAACATTTACTTTAAACAGGAAAAGACAACCAAAAATAAAATAACAAACCGTAAAACTAAAAGTAACCAAGATTCTGAATCTGTTTATTTGCATGGAAAGAAAAAAGATCAAGATCACGACTACAATGAAATGAAATGAACAACTCGTTCCAACATTTTTTATGCTAATTAACGTTAATTATATGCAAGACACGGTTTTTTGACTCTTTGATTTTACATTTTAGTAGTTTTTTCCATAGAAGCATCTTCATTCTTCGTTAAATATTTTTTGACCCAGTATTATCTACAGCCCACCAGGCCTTTTAATAAGTAGTTTCAGAGTATTATCCCACATCGGAATGCTGAAAGGGTTTGATAGTGGAGCCTTTGTATAAATAGACTTCAGTCTCCTAGAAATGAATTAACGCAGCCATGAGGTGAGCACAAAGCGAACTATTCTTTCGCCTTTTACTAAAGAATATCGTGTGCTCTCCTCGCTAAGTGGCATACGCTTATTTTTGGAGGGTTTCTGCTTCCGAGTGGACCCAACATTCATTAGTTTGGAATTTTTTTCTTCTCTTAATAATCCACGTGGCATTAACCCGCTTCATGAATTTATTTTCTTGCATATAAATAGAGATGTTAAACGGGTTAGTCCGAGCCCAATCCAACGCGGATTCAGATTTTTGTCGGGTTTTGCGGGTTAGCCAGTGCGGATTGCGGTCTTAAATTGCTTAGCCGAAGCCCAACCCAGTTAGCTTAGCCGAAGCCCAACCCAGTTAGCGGGCTGACTCGCGGATTTTATTATAAACCTGTTTTTTAATTCGATTTTATTTTATAAATTAATACAAATCTGTTTATTTATTAATTTGTATACTTGTTTTCATGAGAATTTTATATAAAAACCATTTATAAATCTAAAACCAACATTCCAATGAAAACACTAATCATAAAAAACAAACTCAATATTCAAAAAAAAAAAAAATCATAATCCAAAAGCAACATTTCAACATATAAAAAAATCCAAATATTCAAGAGATAGAAGTGCAAAAACTAGTAGGTAACAAACTTGAGTCTTCTTCTTCAATGGTTATCTTTATCTTTATCTTCATCATCGACAATGGACTAAAAAGATGGTAGTGTTTCATCGTCCCCATCTTCTTCTTCTACATATGTAAATAAATTAAGTTAGTGAATCTAAAAAATAACAATCAGAGGTGTAAAACGTATAAATAAGGATTAGTTTACCGTTCTCATATGCTTTAAGTCCCTTTAACCAACTGGAACTGCATATTAAAGCTTGTACATTTTTGGGAAGAAGTCGACTTTTGTACTTGTTCAAAACGCGAGCTCCAATGCTAAAAGAAGACTCTGAAGCTACCGTCGTGATAGGTATACTAAGCAAATCGCAAGCCATTGAAGATAACTCACCATATTTGTTAGAGTTATCTTTCTAGTAATCGAGGATGTCCAAACTCTCATTGATCATGTCTAATGGCGGTTCTTCAAGATACATTTCTAGAGAAGACATCCCATTAACGATAACACTTGATTTGCGAAATGCAAAGAAATCCTGAAAAGCATGGTGAAATCATGTTATCATATGAACAAAAATATGAAACATGAACTGAAACTCAAACTGAAGAAATACGTACTTGGTAATTTGAAAAGCTCCCCTTTTGTTCACCATCGGCATTTTGCTGATCACGTTGTTTCTGTGTAGATGGTGATGTCGACTTTGACTTTTTCTCATAAGATTCAAACAGCAGATGCAGTTTACTAAGCAAGTGATCCATCTTTGCTTTACAGGAATTCGGATCAAGCTTTCCAAAACAAAACTCTGCAAGTGTAAGCTTCAACCGTGGATCAAAGACGGTAGCCATTGCAAAGACATCACTAACTTCTTCCTAATACTTATCAAACTTCTCCTTCATCGGTTTGACCATTTCCTTGACAATTGCATCCCTGCTTGATTCATTCACTTTCAGCCAATTTTGGATCTTCCAAACTTGCATGAAGTACAAGTTCGAAGTTGGATATGTCGAACCTGACATGAGCTTAGTGATCTTGTCAAATGGCTTCAAAAAATCACAAATCTCCTTTGCTCTAATCCATTCTTCATTACTGGGTAAAAACATATAGTTTTTCCCATCAATCCTTTTAAGGTTAATAAATGCAGCTTGGTACTTGATAGCCCTATCCAACATGTGATAAGTAGAGTTCCATCTTGTTTGCACATCCAATATCAAACCAGCTTTGACCTTTAAACCCACAGCATCGATGCACTTTGCAAACAATAACTCACGTGATTCAGAGGCAGTAACATATTTGATGCTCTCTCTGAGTTTATGCAAAGAATCGCCAATAACTTTCAATCCATCTTGAACAATAAGATTCAATATGTGAGCTGAACATCTAACATGAAAAAACTGCCCTCCACACAACAAATCATCACGCAATAACAGCTGTGATTGTACAATGCCTTGCATTGAATCATTGCTAGTCGCATTGTCTAATGTGAAGGAAAATATCTTTTTTTCAATTCCCCATTCTTCCCAAGACTGAAGAGGATCCATTGCTAAAGTCATACTTGGATAATTGAAAACAAAGAGGAGCACATTTGTAACTACTTCACAATCTCGGGTAACCTTAAATAAACATATTTTATACTAAATTCGTACCTGTATGAGGTGGTGGGAGAGCACGGAATGCCAAAATTTTGTTTTTCAGCTTCCAGTTTCGGTCTACATAATGTACTGTGAGACACACATACCCTTCATGTGTTATTTCTGACCATAAATCAGAGGTAAAACTAATTCGTCCAGAAAGACTAGCTAGTTCCATCTTCAAGTTAGCTGTCTCATACCCATAGAAGCGGTATACGTCTGCTGCAGCTGTGTTGCGACTAATGAACTTAACATCAGCATTCAATTATTTCCAAACTACTCTAACTCTTTCATACTCCACGTAGGCAAATGGTAAATCATGTTGAATAATTGTCTTAGCTACCATCTCACGAAAAACTAAGTGATAGATCTTAAGTGCTTGTAGCTTAACTTCTGTGTTGATCATCATATTCCCAATATCACCACTAGTTCTACGCATAAGAGAGCATTTCTTACTGTGCCTTCCTATGGGA